GAGATCCAAACGTTAACAACCACACTTAAAAATGTGCCTGTCAAGATGGTCGGCTGCGGGGAGGTTTGGGGGGAACTTGGGAACATCAGTAGGGGAAGTTGACCCTGGTGGTGAGTCTGGTGCTGAAACACTGTATGTCTAAAGCTCTACTGCTGAATAACTTTGTCAATCTCAATTCTGAATCAATTTATAAATCGCGCTGCTTTAAAAAATGAAATTTAAAAATAATCCAAATTTATACTTAAATCTAAAATTGAAATTTAGAAATCAACATTCCCATTAATGTAAAGTACTATAATATAAAACCACTCTCAAAGAGCTAAGATTTTTAACAGCAGGACATGTTGACTTTTACAATTTTCCAGAATAAAAACGTTTTTAGGAATGGGTATATACAAGAATAGCGGATTCTTTTGCATTAAACTCCATCGGTCACAGTATTTTGACCCACAGTGCCTAAAATCAAAGTGTCTGTTATAGACTGGGGATGGAAAGGAAACTGAGACATTGGTGGAAGGTTTTGGTGTTGGAATATTTTATGCCTAAAACTCAATCATGAACAAGTTTGCAAGCCATGGTGTTGCAAAAAAGAATTGTTTTTAAAGAGTGCAAGCTATGAAATAACTTTTATTTTTATAACTGATGACATTAACAGACAAACATATTTTAATAACAAAGGTATAATTGACATTTGCAGTTACATATTAAAGAATTTCAACAATTATTCTCATATAGTCAAATACATAACATTTAAATTTCACACATTTTTGAAATGTAAAATGCACAATTATTATACTCAAACCACATATATTTTATAATTTTAAGGTTTTAGCTAAAACATGAAAAAGGCAAGAGTTCTATAATGACAAGTAAAATGTATTCACTAATAAAGTGCCACTGGATAACACTATTTCAACTAATTCCTGTTTGAAGAGGACAAAAGTATGTAATAGGATATAACTAAAAGTCATTCTTATTACACTAGTACAGACTAGTAATTATTATACTCTGTAACAAGCACAAGAGTGCTTACTTGTAGCAGATATTAACCACAAAAAAGAATTTCTCTAAAGAAAGATCAAAACTTTGACTCGACAAGCTGTACTGATGACTGGATAGTTCAATGTCCAGATATTTTAAAAAATACAATCTTTGCATAAGACAAACCTATGGCTCCGAATACCAAGAAAGAGTTGGGGGACTCTATATAAATAAAAGAACCTCTCTTTTAATTGCAAAATAGGTTCAACTTGTTCTAAGGAAAGAGGAGTAGAGGCGGTACAGTTTGGCAACAATTATGTTTCTAGCAGGTAAAAGCCTGATATACGCATTACTCTAAGTTTCCATTTCCAGTTAAGGAAAATGTGATTCGATGTATACAGCACTTTTCAGGCACTTGACCTCACATGGTAGTCAAACTGATGTTAATATGATTTTAGAAACTCATTAAGTTGTATGTATTTCTATATAAGCTGTGTTCCCAACAAACATCGGTGTTCCGTAATGTTCTATTAAAATCAAGTGAAGCCATACATACCCAATTCAGAGGAAAAAAGTCATAATGATAACAAATTGAATTTCCTCAATTTTAAGATTTTCCACAATAATGTTTCTTAAGTTTTTGTTGCCTACTTACTCGTTTGCTAGGAGAAAAAAGGTTTAAAAACTACGATATATGATTAAGTTACATTTAAAAATCATTTGATCTGTTCAATATAATACAATATATGGAAATGTTTATAGTTTGCTCTTAGACTTAAGTGCACTCTTTCATAGTAAATTTGTTCATATTATAGAATTCAGTGTAAACGTTTTAATGTACACAAAAGAGCACTGTGTTTTCAATATGCTGTCCCTAAATATGTTTTAGAAATACTACACCAATGTCTGGCTCTGAAACTATCTTGGGGGTCCCTGCCAAAGGAATGCTTGTAGATATACCATTAAGTATAGGGCTCTAAGATAAATCTTATTAAAGTTTATTCTAAAACAAAAAAAAAAACAATGGCAAGATTCCTGTATAGATATGATCAATGCTTCCATTTTCTTCAGTAATTAGCATATGGTTAAAGTATGTTGATATTAAGGATCATTTATATGTGTCAACTTTATTACAATGTGGGATAATTCTGCAATATACTTTCAGGCAGGTAGCATTAAAATAATGAAAACCCAGCTCTTAGCACAAACAGCCCTGAGAACAATGCACTCAAATTACATCTCAACTAGAAATAATCTAATTGAGAAACTTTGAAGTACAAAAACAAATTCTGGAAAAGTTGTAAATTAAAAAAAAAGTTACCAACATTTGAGGCACTACCAGACTACAGTACTTTTAAGAGTTGGAAGGATTTTTTAAAAAGAACATACAAAGCTATGTGTGTACACAGACACACTCACATTGTGCTATAATGAAAAACTGTGTCCCCATTTTTTTAGCTTAATACTTTTTCACAGCATCTACTATTAAAGATACCATGTTCTGGGTAGAGGAGAGTTTTGGTAATTGTTATAAAGAATAGGTAGAGCATTTTGTACCATACATGGAAAGGGACTCAAGAGCTTGGTTAGCAACAATTTCAAGTGACTGACAGCCCTTGGAAGGAGCATTAAATAAACTTCAGAATTATGTTGTAAATGCTTAGTCAGGGTAGCAATGATATGATCTCCTTCAGAGGGTATACAACTTTATAGCGAATAAAGTATAACAAAGTCTTCACAGTAGAAATAAATTGTACTGTTCTAGAAAGAAACAAATATTCCACCTGTTAATATAATATTGCATATAAATTGGTGAAATGTCTACAGACTAAATAGTGTATCTCTGTATATCAACATGACAGTCTACATTCTATACATGATAACTAGTGATTTTTAACATTTGTTACAAAAAGGTACAACAAATATTAGGAATTGATTTTTAACATTTCTAATGTCAAAAAAGAATGAAGTCACTTATTAAAAAATGTTTCCCTGCTTTCTTTTTAATAGAATTTATAAAGCTTTACTAAGTGAAATATTGTTCTACAGAAATATGTATTGGCTTATGTGGAAACAAAAAAAATTCCTATCTTTAAAATCTATATGTTTATATACATCAGAGGAGAAATTTACACTTCATTCTCAGACTTAAAATTAAAGTTATGCATAAAGTAGCTGTCATTCAAGGTATAAAACAGATGCATTATATTTTTATATACACTTACCTTGCAATTGAAAATATATTATGTGGTATTTGACAAGTTAGGAAGAAAAGCCATGCTCATACAGAATACTAAATCAGAATATTAGTAGTTTAACTGGGGTCAATGTGTATGACCAGCAAGCAGTACAGATGGATAACTGTGTGAACTTTTTGTGGGTAACAATGTCAACTAGTAGCAAAGCAATACAAATACTCTAGAGTACTGAAAAAACACAAAAGCAATATATAATAGATACTTATGTGGAATACTGAAAAGGAATTAGCTTAATTCCTAATTGTGCTTTAATTGGCAAAAGCAAGAACATTATACTATAAGTGATAACTACAGCCTCAGTATTCTGTGTGCTTTACAATTCTTACATTTCTCTTGGAGTCTCTTTTCTAAATCAGCTTGTTGAGACCCAGACAGGATTTTAGAGTGTATACAAAATAAATAACAAACTTCAGGATTTTCTGTTCCCAGTATTACTTCTAGCCCTGATTAGATCAGTGCTGTATATATTTCCTTCTAGGTGATAGGAACACGAAGACTTTTTAAGGGTCTTTCATTTCATTTCAGTCTCCCATTTCATCGACACGATGAGCGATGTTTTATGGTTTATCAGAGAAGATGAAAGTATTATTCGATAGTCATCTTGTCAAAAACTTCACTACAATATAATTAGTGTTACTGAACTAAAGGCCACCTACACCCTGTGACAATGTTTGGGATTTCAGAAATTAACTATATAAGACAAATATGCTCTGAGACATAAATCGTTTGAGTATCTTAAATCACTCTAAAAATAATTCAGCTTAATATTTCTTTCCTAATGTTACACCTCAGTAGCTAAACTGTCATAGGAAAATCGAAAAATACATGTATTTCTTAAAATAAGTTAAATAATTATCACACAAAGTAACTTTTCTTCCATGACTCACTTTCATTTCACTGTAGAACAAAGTATACAAATTGGACAAATGTTCAAAGAAACGGAAAATAAGAGTTTCCAGGTTTTTTTCTAACACTTAATTTATTTGGTTTGGGGGTCACACCTGGCAATGCTTAGGGCTACTCCTAGCTCTGTGCTTAGGAGTCCCTCCTGGCGGGCTCAGGGGACCACGTGGGGTGCTGGGGATCGAACCCAGGCTGACTGCTTGCCAGGGCAAGTGTCCTACCACGCTGCGCTCTCTCCAGCCTGACAAATATTTTAATGTCAAAATATCCACTTAAAAACTTCTGAAAGGAAGTAACTCAATATTATATGTATTCAAAATAAGTGGTAAAAATCACTGCATAGTATCCTCTATATAAAGCAGGGAGGGAGTGAAAGAAGCAAAACACAACTAGAAACTTTACATTTTTATCCTAATAGAGGTCTCAAAAACATGCAGAGTATTAACCAACCTCTAATGCCACTGTTCCTGTCTTTTCTTTCTTTCCATCCTGATTCACTAATGATCATCTAACAGACCAGTGCACCTCTGTCACTTGTAGGTAGCAAGATCACCATATATACATGAAGTTTGTCAACGATCTGACAAAAAATTACGATTGAGGTAATATAGGTGGCTGTACATGGCTCTTATTATGACTGACATCTTTTGATAACATGAGTATTTTTTGTTTATTTGTTTTGGGGCCACACCCAGCAGTGCTCAGGCTTTACTCCTGGCTCTGAGCTGAGGGATCAACTCCTGGTGGGCTCTGGAGACCATCAGGGGTGCTGGGGATTGAACCCAGGATGGCTATATGCAAGGCATGTGCCCTACCTGCTGTACTGTTACTTCAGCCCTGATGACATGATCTTTCTTTAAGGATTTGTGCTTGCCAGGCTGATACTACAACAATTCCAATCAATACATATTGTATATTATGTTTGACATTAATGCAGAGCAATTGAACTTAAATGTGGCACTTCAATACTACTAGATGCTACATTATTTAATTAAAACCCTGGTTTATTTATCATTTAAAATTCAGGATTGATGTGCTCAGAAAAATCTTGTCTAATGAAGCTATCATTTGTTTCTGGGACTCATACTGAAAACCGTAAGAATGTTACAGAAAAGACCTACAAAATTAAAAAAAAACATAACTATGTTTGATTATTCTTTTTAAGTGACCAATTGTCTGCAAAACAAATTAAGCATGATTTTTAAAGCAATTAAAAAACAAATGAGGTTGCTTATGAAGGCCATAGCTTTGGTGACAACGTAGAGCCAAACTTTAGATCTGCGCTTGATCCAGACCCAAGCAGTTTGCTCATGTCTAATTTTCCCATCTATTTGCAGGGCTTTATGGCGACGGCATATTCTTCACTCATCGCACACATGACAGACACCTGAAAGTGAAAAAATGCAGGCAAAGAATTATTTAGATAAGGTGTAGTTAATTAATCACACATTACTACTTGTGGAGATTTTATCCACAGTGAATTTGGAAAGTTATTCCAAGATCAAGGAATCTTTGTGTACTATTTTCTAAAGTGGAATTTCCTACACTATTGACTCTAAAACAACATTTAGGGAACAGAGAGAATGAGGACAAATATTTTAATAATTGTAAGATGTTACACTTTCAAAAGTTATAATAAAGACACAAATCCCTTTAACTTTTTTTTTTTTGGTGATTCTAAGGGATTAAACCCAGGGGTCTTGAACATGCAATATAAGTTCTATACGATGGAACCACATTTCTGGCCCTAAATCTCCTTCACTATTTAATACTTCCAAAGCATAATTTCTCATCCTTGAGAGTGTCTCAAATCTGTTTTTCTAAACAAATTTGAACTTGACAGATTCTATGTAGCACAAAAGCGGATACTTTCTTGAGTAATTCGTTTCTAAAGTATTGAAAAAATTGCTTTCTAGAGATAATTTTCAACATTTCAGTGGCACTTATTTTTTGGGAGGCTCCCAAGCAGTGTTCCGGAGATCCAGGGCTCCACCTTTTCAACTAACCAGGACAAGAATGCGATGGAGCTCAGGCCCTGCTGGGCTGGGGATACCCAGGCCATGCCCACAGTGGCAGGGGCTTTAACGGGGTTTCCAGGGCTGTGATGCACAGGGGACCACATCATGCTAGGAATTAAACTCAGGCCAGGTGCATGCCAGGCATGTGCCCTTAACCACTGTACTATCTCCTGCTGCCATTTCATAGTATTTAAAAGCTTCATTTCATCAATAGGATTTTCTCATCCCATTTTTATTGAGGCACAATTTATAATACTGTTAATGATAAGCTTCATGCATACATCGTTCCAACACCACACTCACCACCAGAGTGCCCGTTTGCTTCCAACAATGTCTCAGGGATCCTGTTACTGCCAACTACTCCACCCCCTACCCTTCAGTATGTCAAAGTTTCTATAAGACGCTTTTAAAAACAGTCTTCCCGTTGGTCTTTACCTGTACATCTTCACCTGCATTGTATTTTCCTTCAATTTCTTTGCCTAGTTCACCTTCTGGCAGCTTAAGATCCTCACGAACTTCACCAGTTTCTGTCAGCAGGGAGAGGTAACCATCCTGAATACAGATCAGCTATTAAAAGAAATTAGATTAGATTATATTCATTCTTTCTAATGATAGACAGTAAATTGCAATCCATATGAATTATAATTACAGAGTAATTTACTGATAGGTTTTTGGTGTTTAAAAATGTTAGATATATTACAAAAAGCATAATATATATAAATTAGAAGTATAAGTTCAAAAGCATAATACATATTACAATATATATTGGAAGTATAAGCTCATTCTTTCTTGTCTCCTCCTCTTGCCATCAAATCTGTACATTAAATAATTAAAAATTCTTCACAGTATAACGTGAAGCACAAAGATAATTCAAATACAGTTGCTTTAAAATAAATATATATGTATTTTTCAGCAAGTTGTCTTCAGTTAATATCGTCTTAGAAATTGTTTCAGTCAGGAGTGTGGACCTACTTTTAATCTCTTTAGTCTTTTGATAATCCAGTAAAGTATAATTGGTTAACCTTTTCCCATTAATGGACACAAAAGTTATTTTCAGTTTTTTACTATTAGAAACATTGTTTCATAATTTGATTATGAACAAAGGTTAATAGAAAAATGTACGCACATGCACTGTTACCACTGTACTGTTTTTTAAAAGACTAACAGTAGCTTGCTGATAAAATTATCCAACAAACCTAGTCAGCAATCTAAGTTGCAAAAAGGCAGTTCTGATATAATAAATTTCTTTTATGAAAGACACAAAGGTCCTTTCTTTGTATCAGTATTTAGAATTCTTCCATACATGTCAGTTTTATTAAAAAGTCACCTAGGGGTTCAGTGGACAGGGCACTTGCCATGCACAAGGCTGACCCTAGCTTAATGCCTGGCACCATATATGGTGCCCTGAGCACCACCAGGAGTGATCCCTGAGTGCAGAGAAGTAAACCCTGATCACGGCTGGTTACAATGGCACTTCCCCACCCTCCAGCCCCGCCCCCCAAACCAACACCCCTTGCCCTCTCTCCCGCATGACAGTCATCAGAAGATGCTAACAATGACCAACACAAAGAGTCAAAAACATGGTCCCAAACCACCCTTAATTATAATGACCTAATACAGGCATGTCAGAGGAGAAATTTTCAAGGGCCTGAGGAGATAATACAGAAGTTAAGGCATTTGCCTTGCATGAGGCTGACTCTAGCTTGATCCCTGGAACTGCATAAGGTCCCCTAAGCACTGAATACAGAGCCAAAGCAATCCCTGTGCACCTTTAGGTGTGGCCCCAGATCCAAAGCAAACAAAAATTTCAGGTCTGGGGAGATAGCTCAATGTGTGGATTGAAGTAAAGACCCAGTATGCTTAAGGCTCAAGTTTGATTCTTGGCATTGAATGCCTTCTCCTAAGGGGATGGTCCTGCTGGTCAACTGGGCCACTGGGCCCAAGCATTGTCCTGTCCAGTCAATATACCCAGGCAGAGTATTTCTGGATTTCTGTGAGAGGCTCTCAGATTCCAGAAGTATTCCGAGCACTAGAAGTATTCCTGTTTAGAAGTACTCCTGAATAATATATAATTGACCCTCCTCCTCTCCCCAAAACACATATATACACATACACACAGACACATAGACACATAGACACACACACACACAGAACGAGAAAGACAGTCTAATAGGACAGGGGGAATCTATTAATAGAGAAATCAAATCAATATGTGGAACTTATTTAGGTTCCCATTTAGACAAACTATAAGACAAAACAGTAACTAGAATTTCTAAAAAAGTCAAATAATGTAGATTGGCTCTTTGAAAACATTCTGTATGGATTCTTATACCACACCACACTTGATCTTAGCCAAAAGGCCGAGAAGCGATGGGCTGGAGCGATTGCACAGCGGTAGGGCATTTGCCTTGCATGCAGCCAGCCTGGCCGAGCTGGGTTTGGTTCGGAGAGCCTGGAAAACTACCTAGAGTACCTCACCCGCATGGCAAAGCCTGGCAAGCTACCCGTGACGTATTCAATATGCCAAACACAGTAATAAAAAAATGGAGACGTTACTGGGCCCGCTTGAGCAAATTGATGGAACAATGGGAGGATAGTGACAGTGATGGATTCTTATATTTTAGAGTTGTTAACAAAATATTCGCAGATGAAACAGTAAAAAGATATGATGTCTGGTATCAGTCTCAAATAAGAGGTAGAGAAAAAAAATATGGCCGACCTGAGTTCGATTCCTCTGCCCCTCTCGGAGAGCCCGGCAAGCTACCGAGAGTATTTGATATGCCAGACACAGTAACAACAAAGTCTCCAATGGAGACGTTACTGGGCCCGCTCGAGCAAATCGATGAACAACGGGAGGACCGTGATTCATGATCCGTGATGTTTCACCATCACCAATATCTCCCTTGTCACTCCTGACACATGCCCCACCCACCGTGATCAATCAAAGCATTGATAGAAAACAATACAATGTAAAGAATTAAGATTATTTAAAAATGGATTTAAAAAAGATGAAGTTATGATTATAAAATTTAAAGAGTTTATGAATAAAGAGTGGGCTGGAGCGATAGCACAGCGGTAGGGCGTTTGCCTTGCATGCAGCCAACATGACCGTTACTTGACATGAAAATAGACTGACAACTTAGAAAGAGACTGACATTTTGAAGTTGGATAACAGGTAAATAAGATTTATTTTATTTAAAACATTTCCACACATAAAAATAAAATGAGGGCTGGGCAAAAGAATTAGTAAAGGTAAGATAAGCTGCTTGCCTTGAATGCAGCTGATCTTGGTTCAACTTCCCGCACTCCATATAGTCCCCTGAGTACCACCAGGAATGATACTGAGCACAGATGCAGAGAAATGTCCTGAGCACTCTCAGGTGTGGCCCAAATCCCATTAAAAAAAAAAAAAAGGCTGCAGAGACAGCTTGAAGGGTTGAGCACATGCTTTACACGTGGGAGGCCCAGTCCATTCCAGGTACCACAGAGTCCGCTGAGCAGGTGAGAAGAGACCCTGAGCAACCTCAAGTGTGGTCCAAAAACGAAAACAAAAAGCAGAATCTGTAGCCAGGAACGTGGCTCAGCAGGAGATCATCTGCCGTACATATGTGAGGCTCTGGGTTGAATCCCTGGGACCTCGTGTACAAAAATTGAAAAGAAAAACATGAAGTATGTAATAGTACATCAGAACTCTAAAAAGAACACGTAACTACTAAATATTTGGAGACAAGATATTGAGAAAACAAACCATAAAGAAAAGAAAGAAAGAATAAGGAAGGGTTTTTGACTGCAAATTCTGCCCGTGATGTTTGTTGCCAGAATGAAGAGAACATGGAAAAAAGGAAAATAGCTGAGAAATATTTCTTTTGCCTGTATTAGTACTGCTGGTATACAACAGAAGGCTGTAGAAGGCGTTTGGTGTTTTGTGAGCCCTAATCTTGTTGTTTGTATGTTTCATTTTGTTTTGGGACAGTGCCTAGGGATTAGTCCTAATTCTGCATTTAGGATTTACTCCTGGTGCTGCTCTGGTGGCATTTGAGATGCTGGGGCTGAACCCAGATTGCATGAGGCAAAGGCCCGACCCATTGTACCACGGCTCTGGCCCATTAACCCAAATCTTGCTTAATTTATCTGGTGGGTGGGGAGGGGGTCGAGAGGTTTGGGTTACATCCTGTAGTGTCCATGCATTCTGCCTGGGACTGTGCATGGGATTAGTCCTAGCAGTACTCTGCAGACCATCTGCAGTGTTGAGGACGGATCTGGGGCTAGCCATATGCAAGGCCTTACACCCTGTCCTATCTCTCTGATGTAGCCCTTATTTCTTAACGTGGTCTGTCTCTTTCAAAACCAGAATTCTCTAGGATCTCTTTTTTCTTTCTACTTCTCTTCTTCCAGCTTCCCTTAAAGCTACTTCCTTCTTGTTGCTAGTCCCTGGTAGAGATTTACTATTGTTGCATTCATCCGAAGAAAATAATATTACCAACATTAATATGATCCTACCACTCCCAATCGCAAGCCACAAAGTAGTAGGATAAACACCAGCAATACTCCATCACCACCTGGAAGTAGCTTATACGACACAAACCTGGTACCTTAAGGATTCAAACAAATTGAATGGGAAGTAGCTCACTCTCTGAGAGAAACCTTTTGTGCCACCATCACTTTTCCCTCATTTCATAACAAAAGTTATGAGTTAAGGAACTCAGCTGAGACAAAAAAAATCCATAAAGATTTAGATAGTTATATGTGATGGAACAAACTATTCAGAGGAGGTCCTTAGAGGCGATGAGAACTTCATGCACTGGATTTGACAGGAGAACCAAACAGGTTTGGATTCACACTAACCATGGGCAATGACAAAGAGTGTAGATGGAGAATCAAGACCACCAGAAAAAAAAAAGTCAGGGAAATTGCTGACAAGAAAGATCTAAAGAAGTAGGATGTGGAAGGAAGCAGCTCTCCAAGCCAGTTAAAATGTGTCCGCACGAACGCTTACCAAAGGGGATCTGCTTTGGCAATTAGATGGACAAGATGATTCTATCTGTGAGTGCCATTCAGCTTCTCTGAGTAGTCGCCCCAGTTCTTGTTCAACTGGCTCTAGAACAGAGTGAGCACGGTGGCATGGGCTCAGTCACATAGGCTGACATGACCTGTTTAGTCAACATCAAACTAGAGACCAGTATCGAGTGCCAAATATGGCACCATCCACCAAGTAACACCCTACCCCTTTCATTAGGGAAGTGGCAGCCTACAGGAAGTGTTTCTCACTCTAGATGCAGATTCACAGCTCTCTCCAGCTTGTAGTGCTTTGTCAAAATTTCATATCTGGATTTATAGAATGCCTTCTTTCTGTCAGTATCTCATAGGGCATGCACAACTGACTGAAAATCTTACTTGACTGGCAAAATAAGAGGAAAATAGAACAGATTGGTGCTGGAGATTGAACCCAGGCTAGCTGGAAGCAAAGCAAATGCCCTACCCACTATACTATCACTCTGGCCTCCACCACACCCGTGTGTGTGGACCGAATGAAGATATCTTTGTCACCTGTGATGGACTGGGGTCCT